GTCGTCGATTATCATTACGCTGCGTCGTTCCTGGTCTCTTGCACGCGCGCGCGCTCGCCCTCTCTCTCTCTCTCTCTCTCTCTCTCTCTCTCTCTCTCTCTCTCTGGTTTGCTTACTTAACAACGACCCACGCGCGTGCACGTGTAACACGCGCACGACAGTGCAGCGGAATTGGCTTTTATGCAAAAGCATGCACATATCGCATGCATACGTAAGCGAGCGAGCGAGCGAGCGCGCGCGCGTGGACGTTGTCGGGGCGGGAGTGTTTGTGCTTCTTCCGAGCGCATTAGCTTTTCCCGTTCCTTGCTCCATTTCCATGTCCATTAATCACGGGCGACAATCGGATCCGCTCGCGAATACGAAGACCATCTCGCGGGAAATCCATTCGGCTCGGCTCGCCGCCGTTTTTCGCAGACCTCGCGCGGCCAACTGCGGACCGCGTTATCGCGATATCTCACGAATGTACATACACAACCTCGCGTTCCGCTCATGCGTCGTTTATTCGCCGCGTGTCTTTGAGCCCGCGGAGCGCCATTGCGGAGGAATTACCGGCGGCCGTCCGTCGCGCTGATACGCGTCGCGCACGCGAATAAACGCTCGGGTGGCACGGATCAACCCGCGCGCGACACCATTCACTCGCGACTTTCGTCAAAGCCACCGGAGTCAGCGAATAGCGAGGCCGCCGAAATCCCGGCGTCTTATCGCCGCCGGTGGATCGCGGCGTTTCACGTATATCGCGCGCATCGCGCATTTACATATCATCACACGCGCTAAATGTAGTCCTTCATCAGCGCGAGAGACACCCCGCTTCGCGATGAGTTATTAATCATCGCGCAAGAGAAGAAGGGGAAAGAAAAGAGCAGGGGGAGGGGAAAGGGGAAAGCGAGGGGCCAAATTACCGCGACGTCCATTAGGAGACGCGTACCAATATTTGACAATCGTTCGCGGTTAATCGACCGTGAGACGTATTCGTGAGAAAGAGAGATCAGAGGAAGAGAGATAGAGAGCCATAGAGAGGTAACTCCTCGGCAAATGAGAAAAGAATCGTGTTTCTCTCTCTCTCTCTCTCTCTCTCTCTCTCTCTCTCTCATTAATGTTTCCACAAGGCGCGCGCGCGTCAGTCGTTGGCCGCGGGTAAACCGGGAAACAGGGCACACAGCAAAGAGCTTTATCGCGAGTGTCCTCTCGTCGAGACGAGACGACGACGATGACGCCGACGACGACGACGACGACGACGACGACGACGACGACGACGACGACGACGACGACGACGACGACGACGACGAAGTCGCGCATAAATTTTTCCTCACGAGCTGCCGTTGCTAGCCAAGCAGGCGTTCAGCCTGGAGACTGAAGAGAGAATTCGGCTGCGCCCCGAGTAGTATTCGGAAAGGAAATCCATCGCGAGAAGCGTTCGCAATGAGCGAAGAGAGTCGCGGAGTCTCGACGAGCGGGCGCTTCCAAAGTCGCACCTGCATATCATCGATATCGTTTCATTGAATGTCATTCATATCATTAACGAAGAAGGGGCGGGACGAGCGAGCGTACAAGCTCGCCCCCGTCGATCGATGTAGTACAGCGAAGATTTCTTAAGGCTTCTCTCAACCTACCTAGCGAATAGCGCCGTCAATTGGCGACTAATGTCTAAGCGAGTTAAAGGGAAAATACGTTGTTAAGGCCTAATAGATAACGGTGAAATTCGTTAGAGACTAATAAGCGACACACAGGAGCGCGCGTATGTGCACGCACGCGTGCGCTCACACGCGCACACACACACACACACACACACACACATACACACTCGATATACATTTTGGTTGTTAAGCGAACGCTTATCAGAATTATATTCGCGAAGCGATACTATTCCATGTAGATATATATACTATATTGAGTTGTACGTATATATGTATACTTCCACGCCTTCGAGCGCGTCTCGTGAAACGAACAGCTCAACGAAGGCGCGCGCGCGCGCTCGACGTCACCGATCGGTCTTCCGGAGTGTACACCCTTCGCGCGACTCGGTCGAATCGGTCGATCCATTATCGCGGCGTCGCGTCCAAATCTCCCGACGCGGAATTCGCGAAAAACGAGTCGGCCGCGCAAGTCGGAAATGTCGCGTCCAATTCCCTCGCGTTCGCGGTCGCGCGCGCTCGCGCGCGCGCGGAGCCGGGAGGGGGATTTACGATTTTAGCGAGCGGATCCCGCTAATTCGTCTGTCGCTCCGACGAAATTCACCACATCTCTATATTATGAATAATTAATCCGCGCGTTGTGTGTGCGTATCCCGGACTGCGTTGCGGCAAACAAAACGTCACGCTGCGCGCCATGCGCGACACGCCGGCGGCCGAGACCGCTGATGAAATCTGTTTTCGCTTGACGAAAGAGAGGGCGGAAGAGGCAGATGCGAGGGAGACCACCGCTTTTTATACGCGATTTTACGCCATTTTTACGAACGTACCTTCGCCGTCTTTTGCACGTCGACGTGCACCGGCTCCAACCGGTGGGCGAGGCGCTTCCGTACCGTCGCGACGTTTCACCTCATCCCGACCGGACCGGTCTCATCCTTTTATTGTAATCGCGTGGGTATATCCTCGAGCTTTGACGCTCGCGTCCGTCGCGGACGTGCGCGGCGCTACACTCGCGAGGAAGAACGAAAGATGACGATCGAGCCTTCGTGCGCTGGATTTGCGTGCGCGCCAACCGAGGCGCTCTCGAAGGCCACCACTTTGTGGCTAAACGTGAAAACGAAACGAAACTCGTCGTACTCCAGTGTTGTCTAAGCTTTTTAAGCGAACAGAGAAACCCCTTTTCGCGAGACTGTTCATGAAAGAGAGAGAGTGAGAGAGTGAGAGAGTGAGAGAGAGAAAGAGAGAGAGAGAGAGAGAGAGAGAGTGAGAGAGAGAAAGAGAGAGAGAGAGAGAGAGAGAGAACGAAAGATTGAGCAGGAGAGGAAGAGCGAGAGAAAGAGAGAGAGAGAGAGAGAGAGAGAATGAGCGAGAGAAAGAGAGGGAGAGAAAGGGGGGAGAAAGAGGCAGAGAGAGAATGCGAGAGAGGACAAATGCGCGAAAATATGTGCTGATGAAAGAGAGCGAGAGAATGAGAGCGAAAGAGAGGGAGAGAGAGAGAGAGAGAGAAGAAGGGAGGGAGAGACTGCGACTGGAACGAATGTCGGGGAGTGAAATTGCGGTGTGACAGAGTGATGCTGAGGGATGCGCGAGCGTTAAGGGACAAATATACCTGCGGCTCTCTAACTCTAAATATTTATTACACTTGTTACGCTATCGATAAGTTTATATTGTATCTCTATCGTGACAGAATTTACGAGTATTGTACGTGATATTATATTTATACGGGCTGTTACACTCTATCTCCGAAACTTCCATTTTTCACCGCGCGACCGAGCGAACGAATTCAACACGCGAACGGGCGCAGGGGAACGGGAGGAAAGAGCGGAAAAGCTGGGGGTGGAGGTAGCGGAGGAAGAGGAGGAAGAAGAGGCAGGAGAAGAAGAAGAAGAAGAAGAAGAAGAAGATGGAGAGAAAGTAGAAGAAGTACGGCGAGTAGTCTCGGGGTAGACAGGGAGGAAGCGCGAACAACGTCCGGTACGACCGCTATGGATACATCCCTTTCTCGCCGGCCGCCGGTATCGATCAGTCCTCGAGATTTTCGTGTTCCGGAGGCGTAAAGCCGACGCGGCGGGAATTTATTGAGAAAAATCGACGTCGGGCAGCGCGCGTAGGCCGAGCGAGAGCAGCCTGATGCGAGGAGGACCGTCGCGGAAGGTCGAGACCCCGTGCTCGCGACAGGCACGAGGGGGTGTTACACCGGCGGAATTTATCGCGAGCCCATGGACTCGAGCGAACGAACGAACGAACGAACGAACGAACGAACGAACGAACGAACGATCGAGCCATGAATCCGACGGCCTGACAGACGACAAAATGCCCGTGCTTCTTCGAGGTCGCCGGCGAGCCGGGCCGAAGGTTGATTAATGGCGACAAGCGAGACGAAAATGGGTTCAACCTGTCCGACGAACGAGAAAGGGATTAAAGTGGCGGCTCGTAGTTTAACTGGCAGAGTGCAAGAGAGAGCGAGAGCGAGAGAGAGAGAGAGAGAGAGAGAGGGAGAGGGAGAATGAGAGTGAATGAGCGAAGGAGCGAATGGAAGAAAGTACGCTTAGATCGTATGATAACGCGGTCGATGGAACAATAGATTCGGGGCAGCGAGGAAACTGCAAGGTGGCGTTGCGCGGGGAGACAAAGCGCGACTAGTCGAGTCGTGAGAAGGGAGGATCGTAATCTGAACCAACCGGCTGGGAGAAGAAGGGAAGGTGAAGAAGCTAGAAAAGAATTTTCCGGAGACCGTATATAAGAGGAGGAAGGACAAAGAGGTGGCGGGAAGACTTAACCGTATGAGAAAACCGAGAGCGAATGATAGCTTTTTCTTCCCTTTTTCCATTCCGCCGGCCGGCGACGCAGGAAGAACGACGTCGACGACGGGCTCTTTCTCCCCGCGCGTGACGGTCGTCGGTTTCCTCCAACGCGCATCCTGGCGCGTTCGTAATTCTTCCTCGAGGCTGTTCTCCCGAGTATTTAGGTTTACGACTCAAGGCAGAGCATTGTGCGTGCGAGCGCGCGCGCGGCCACGGAAATTGGAGCGAGAAATTCTGTCCGCGATTACGCGATGATATTCATCGCGCTCGTCGGCTGCTTATTAGAATATCCAGCGTGTCGGCGCGGAGAAGTTTGGACCTCCACAAAGGGTCGGTCTCGCTGCAAAGTGCAGCGTATTTCCGCGGGTCGTCCATACCGTGGCCGCGGCGCGCTCTTTATCCGAGACTGCGCGTGATTACGCTTGAGAAACAATTTACCTGCGCCCACCTGATGAACCCTCCACCCCATCCAGATCGTTCGCGCGATCGGCGTCGCGCGCTCTCTCCATTTCATTTTTCGAACTGTTACTGAGCTTGTTTTTAATAAACTTGTTTTTTTGTTTGTTAGAACGGCAACGTACCGGGCGGCGATTCTGGTGGACGGGCGAACGGGTGAGTACTACCATTTCTTCGATTGCACGTTCAATCATGCGCACCTTTCCCCCTTTCGTACTTTTCTCCCTTCTTTCGCGGACAAGCTACGCTCGCGTAGCTGGTCGGTTCGTTTGCCTCAGCGCGCCTGAATGTCGGCGTCACTTGCTCAAAATTATTCCCGTTGAGGTAACGTTCGTAAATATTCTCGGTGTACGAGAATATTTTGTAATATATATCGAGAGATACGTCACACAATATTTTTTTTGAATCACATATTAAAAAGAAGAAAATAAATTACACGGCGGAGAGAGAAATATCTGTGGCTGGTAGGGACGATTCGAGATGGCCGGATCATTTTTCCGGAATGTCAAGTGGGAGACAGGCTGAAATCGACGATAAAATTTCGCTCGATCTGCCGTCATTCGTTACATAGATGTTTCTCCGATAAATTTCCATTCTGAGTCGCGCAAACGACGACGAATTTCGCAATCTGTCGCCCTCTTGCCATCCGACGAGGACGTTTCTTGGGTGTTCCTTATCGATTTTTGAACGTTATATATATTACAGAGCGGGCTACATTCGATTACGAACGAAAAGTTTTGAAACTGTGAAATACATAAGAAAATATTTTACATTATATTTTTAAAATGTCTCGCGTGTCTTATAATTTTGTGCATTTACCCAAAAATGTGCTTCCTTCATCTCTCATTATTGAGAACTTTAACATTATTGATAACTTTTACAAGTTACACAAAAGTTGAACAAAATTTGCATCTAACTACGTATAATCTAACTACATATAATGAGATTATTATCTAAAATCTCATCTTCGAGATACGAGTTGTAGACGTCACGCTGTAAGTAGTTGCAGACGCACATAGACGGACGGAACACAGGACAGGCGCTGCTTGACCACAGAATGTTCGCAACTACTTAGAGCGCAGCGTACAAAACTCGTATCTGACAGATGTAACCTCGCTAGATAATTTCATTATACGTCGTTGCATTTATGCTAAAATCCCTGTAAAATCCAATTTTTTCCCTTAAAAAGTTTTGAAATTCGAAATAGGAACGACAATGGGGATGAAAAGTATATTAAAAAATTTAACAATATTGTAAATTGATCAGTCCAAGTGCAGTGTTACACAGTTAAATTAAATACGACAAAACTCTCAATTTGAAAACTTTTTCACATGCATATTCCCATCCATTCACTAATAATTAATTTTAATTTATTTCCGAGAGTAATGAATTTTCTCTTTTTTTTTCTTTCTCTTTTTTTTTTTTCATCGAATCACCTTCTAGAGCCTTCTGTCGCTTTTAAACGCGCTGGAAAGCGCATTGTTCTGCAATATGTATTAAAAATTTATCGATATCGGCGGAGGGTACCTCCGAACGTTTTCTTGTTAAATCTTGGGACTGTCCACGTACAAAGCTGAACGTCTTTTCTTTCCCGAGTCGCAGTCCACGCTACGTATCCACGATTCGCTCGACGATTCAATCGAGCGAGCCTCAATGAATTATTTCTGAGAGGAGCGTTTACGTAACAAGAGACAAATATCCCCTATAATTTTACACAAGGTCCGCCCCAGTTCGATAAGTCTCCACGTCACATATATCCGTCGCGAATTTGTCAGACGCCGCACCGTGAGGGCATTCGGCCGGGCGAGGAGCATCGAGTATAATTTTATGCTCACACCCAATCGACGAGGCATGGATTCCGCGGAATCCGCTGGGACACGGTAACTTGGATCTTCCGGAAAACTTGTTAACTAGCGCAAATTTCCATCGCGCACCTCGCGCGATAGGCCCTCGCGAAGGGCTCGATGAATCACCGTTTATGCCGTCGCGCTGAGGAATCTCCCTTGGAGCTATTGCTAACTCGCGGCGGTAGTTTGACACGAAAGTTCACTTCATCTCCGGGATTCTACGGGGAATCAAGCGAGCTCTCTGTCGTTTGTCTTCCCTCCCCCCTCTCTCTCTCTCTCTCTCTCTCTCTCTCTCTCTCTCTCTCTCTTTTTCTCTACCCTCTCCCTCTCCCTCTCTCTTTCTCTCACGCGCGCTCGATCGCTTTATCGGCGGCCGATTCTTTCGACGTCGGATGACAGAACTTCCAATTGATCCCGGGAAATTACTCCAGAGATCCACGATGCCGCGTCCCAGCCGAGAATTGCATGCCTCTCGAAACGTAATCGCGACTCACGTACGTGATATCCCTCGCAACAGACACTACCCGACTTGAAATGTTGATCAGGTTCACCTAACATTGATAAGGACCTGATAGGATGAATGAAAGGTAATCCTAAGCAAGTCAATCCTTATAAATGTCCTATCGACAAGTGAGTAAGGAAGGTACCTTTATAAGGTTATAATGATCGGGTCCACATTAGGACCTTAATGTACTAACTTAGTGTATGGTATAACATGGTTCAGTTAATCAGGTCCTTGTCGGAATCTTATTCATTGTACCTAATATGGTTTGCATCATCAAGTTTTAACAAAACAATTTTTGGGTGTCATTTCCAAATATAAAAATGTTTGCATTGAAAAAAACACTTCAGATCACTTGAATATATTTGTAAAATGCTATAGAAACTATCCTTTTTTTCAGCAGTCAATAAATAGTTGTAAGATTAACGTGACATGCAACCTTTCTCTTCAACACTACTTTATGTCTCGTCACCTTGCGATACTTCACAATCTTATGATATTCATTTTATGTTTCTTTTCCGAAGCATTTTACAAGTATGCTCGAGCGATCTGAAATATTATTTCATGCAAATACCTTTTTATCCGGAAATGATATGAAAGAATTCTCAGCGTGTCATTTCTTATTCCTAACGTCAATCATCCAATATAGCCGTGGCGAGTAAAATCAGAAGCCACAATTTGAAAAAGAAAAAACGTAATAAGGATTTCATAAGGTAACTCAATAAGGGCCTGACTATGAATCCTTAGGATTAAGGTCCTGATATCCACGCTGCGTTACATTACTTACCAGGACCCGATAGTATTACCTTATTGGGAACTGGTGTCCAAACGAGGTTAACCTGATCAGGACCATGGGATAAATTTCTAATCGGGTAACGACTGCGGCAGCGGGCAGAAGCGGCGCGAGCGTTCGTATCGACGACAGGATCGCGCTAACAGACACGCGCTGACGTAACATCCGAAATCTTTTGTTACAGACACCCGGGCGACAATCCTTTCTACAGCACCATCGACAGCATGCCGGACATTCGACCGCGACGGAAGTCGATACCGTTGGTTTCCGAGCTGGTACGTAGCCGTTTGCCCATTAACACCACTCCGTCATTGTCTCTCTCCGCGTATATACATATGTATAAGTACACCGTGTATACACATACATATATGTACATTGCCTGGACCGTCCGTATACCATTCGTCGGAAATAATTACCGATCCGACGAAACGTTCTCGTTGTGCTGGTCGTCAACGTCGCCAACGTCGTCATCGTCCTTATCGTCGTCGTCGTCGTCGTCGTCGTCGTCGTCGTCGTCGTCGTCGTCGTCGTCGTCCTTGTAGCAGCGACAGCCGTCGTTCCCCTCCTCGCGATATCCGGCCGGGAGAAGTCGCTGAACATTAAACACGAACGTCTCGCGCGTTCCCCTCGCTCGAAAGCACGCCACGGGTTTGACCTCGCGATGCTCGCGGCGAGATTACGCCGCCGGTTGAATTTTAATTAATTCGCCCAACTAGCCCCTGGGCCATCTCCGTTTGTTTTAGAATTTTAACGCGTAACCGGCGCACGCTTTGTGATCGTATGCTACGTTTGCGCGAAACACGCTCGGAATAATTATCGCACTGTGCTACCTGTGCTTTTTTCCGCGCGGCGCGACGCGCCGAGCCGACTTACCGAACCTCCATGCATTATTTCTCGCGCGCTATGAATTACATGCCCGCGAGCGTTCATCGACGCGTACGCCGGAACACGTGGATGCTCTCTCTCTCTCTCTCTCTCTCTCTCTCTGTCTCTCTGTTTCGCCGATATAGATGGATATTCTTTTTGCTCGTTTACATCTCGCCGCGGAGTCTATAACCGGGATGGTCGGTGCGGAGGAGCGCGGCCGAGTGAAATATTACAAACTGGAGGACGGCGAATCTATTCGCGGGACGCCGCTTTGAGTGTCGAAGTGAGATATAAAATATAAACCGATATTCGGCACGCGAGCAGTCGAGCGAAAGAGGCAGGGCGGGGGGGGATATCGATTATGCTAATACACTCGGCTACCGCACGATCGCGCGCACGGTTGTTCGCTTCGACGTTTGTCCGATCGCGTTTTCCCGGGGAAAAGGCGTCCCGCGACTGTCGGCTTCGTCCTCCGTTCGCTCGCGCCCTCTCCCTCCTCCCCCGGCGGATTTTATCGGCTCAAGCGTAAATGATAACCGCGCTAATTACGCTTGGGATTTAATTATTTTCCCCTCCGCCGGGAGGAGCTCTCTCTCTCTCTCTCTCTCTCTCTCTCTCGATCGCGGCGCGACGCGATGCGACGTTACTTCTTCCCGGCCGAGACAGCTCCGTCGGGCGAGACGACGGCAACGACGGCGATGACGACGACGACGACGACCTGAAATACCTTCGTCGCGAGATCTAACTCTGTGTGTCGCGTACGACGCATCCGAGGATCGCCGCGCGAGAGATGGAAGAACATGAGGGAGAATAAGAGGTACAAGGAGAGGAAGCAGGCGACTCTCTAACGAAGTTAAATCGGCGGTGCATCCTCGAACTTCGTGTCCTACAACGGAGACGAAGCGAAATGTACTATCCTCGGATGCGTCTCGTACCGAACGTGTCGTGACCTAATTGCGTGTTTTACGTTTCAGTGTTAAACCGTCGTTTTCCGCGCCGAATCGAATTGCCAATTTTTTCCCCTCGAAAGAAAAAAAAAAAAAAAAAAAAGAAAGGAAGAAAATTAAACGCCGAGCGATAAAACCTGGCGAAAAATATTCTTGCCTCGTGTGGCCTCCACTTTCCTCCTTTCCCGCTCCCCGGAATTTCTGCCCTCGGAACACGGTGTCTCTCACGATCCTCTCTCGACGGGCATCCATATTCGCCTCTCGCATATATACCCGCGAGTCGCGAGTCGAAAAAAAAAAAAGGGAAAACGCGAACGAGAGCAGGGCGAGAATGAATTCGCCGAGCACGGCGATCGAAATTTCATTACAGTCCAACGTGGAATCTCATAATCGTCGCGCCCAATGAGGGTGACGCGATCGCGGGCGACGACGGCGTTTCCTCGTCGGGAAATTGAAATTCGCGTCCGGTTTTTCGGCCGGGGCGCTTTTACCGCGGGATGCAAGGTCGCGTGCTCGGAGAATAGCGGGAAGACAACTCGCTATTTGAAATTCGGATTGGCCGGGTCGGCAGACCTCGACGATTTATTCCGCTTGTGTCGCGCGGGACGCGTGTCTGCTCGTGTCGAGGGACGAGCGCGGATTGCGGGTCCTTTCAAGCGAGAATCCTAGTCGCGCGCGCGCGCCGTCGACCGATTCGTCCTCGTTGGCTCCCGCCGCTCGGCGTCCTCGCCAGAGGACGTCGAGGAAATTGCGCTTGATTCGCAAGAGAAATGCAAAACGGTACTCGTACGTCGTATTAAAACGCGTCCCGCATCCCCCGCGTTGTTGTCTCAATTATAGTCGCGCACACGCGCCCGGTGATAATAAAGAAAGTGTCCCGGTTACGTCACGGATGCCGCTGAGAGCCGCGCGGGGGGGAGCCGGCTGCTTGCGTGTGCAACTAGTGCGTGAGACTTGAAATGAAATTCTTAAGTAGTTTATCGATCGAGCGCACGCGAGCGCGCGCCGAGGAAACAGCCGCCCCTTCCATGGGTGGGGGGATAAGTGTGTCGCGCGAAGCGTGTGATTTAAGTCGGGCCGGAGGGCCGAGGCGCGAGAGGGCGCACGCTGAGAAAACGAGACACTGACGATAAGAAGCGCGATAGAAGCCGTCGGCTCTGGAAATTTGAATAATTGAAAGGAGAAAACCGCCGCCGCCGCCGCCGCCGAAACGCGCCGCAGCCGCGATCGACCGAGCGCCGCGCGATTCTGGTGGACCCTCGTGATCTCGCGAGGAAATCTCTGCCCCTCGTGAATTTAAAGCCGATGTGTTTCCGAGAGAGCACACCGTTCCTCCCTCTCTTCCCCTAACCGCAACCTAACCTCACGAGTAGTGTCGCACTCCGAACCTTACTGAATATGAATACCCACCAGCCCACCCACCCCCTTTAGATTCCGCAGTCCGATGTCTGTCTGCCCCATGTATGTTTAATGTCAACATTTTTATATACACACACGTATCGATTGATCATTGTTGTGTCTCTCGTATACAAAACTCGGATCCTACCGCTAGGATTCGCGATGTGGATATCATGTCGCGCGTGAGCAAAGTCGTCCAGGCAGTCCGCGAGGAACGCGGCGCGGCGGGCGGAAAAATCGCGGCGGTGAACCGTGCCGGCGTTGGACGCGCGAAAATTGACTGACGACCGCACGTGAAACGTGATTACCGCACGGTAATTCCGCCCGTTCGAATTCATCACGGAGACATAAATTCCCGGGGCGCGAATTATCGTTGTGTCGCGCGCGTCACCGACGCGACGCGCCGCCGCTACGTCGCGCTGTCACGACGGCCTTTTACACGAGGAGGCGACGGAGTCGCGCGAGATCCTCCTCCTCCTCCTCCTCCTCCTCCTCCTCCTCACCGTCAGCTCACCCGGCAGCTTTGTCTCTCCGTGATGACGATGATCGGTCCTAATTAACGCCCATCAACATTGTCTTTGTTGCCTCTCTTGTGTCTGACTTTCATAAAGTACCTATATCCGGATCGTATAATCCAAGAAAAGAGAAAATAAAAAAGAAAAGAAAGATAAGAAAGGAAAAGAAAAGAAAAGGAAAAGAAAAGAATAACAATTGCGAGTGATACACGTACTAACCGGCATATAATGCTATTTTCTCTGTTTGTTCTCTGTGGCGCCCGTTGTTGTATCCACCTGAACACCTGAAAAAAATAAAACCACTCACTGAAAAAAACCTCTCAAAAAATCTCAAAAACTCTACCTCCAGGTCTTGAAGGTACTAATTAAATGCCTCCTTAGCAAAAAATCGATTGAAAGCTTGTTCGAACGTTTATGCATGCGCAACTTCTTTCACTTGGATTTCGTTCGCACTGGTTCGCTAACTGGTTAACACGCCGTTACTCCGGATATTCAGTTTCTCTCTCTCTCTCTCTCTCTCTCTCTCTCTCTCTGCCTCTCGCTGGTTCTACACCGCTTACGACTCTTGCATTTTCTTCTTTCTTTCTTCTTCCGTTCCCTCTTCTCGTTCTGCCACTCCTGTTTTTTTCTTCGCGTTTTGACTGTTTCTAAAGTTCAGACATGCGCGTCCTTTTTCCGCTGATGATTCGCCACCGCGACGGCGATACGCTGCATGCCTTCTCATTGCGATTGGTTGAAAGCCG